AAACTGCATATGTAACTATAGATAGCCTTAACTATAGTAAACTTTGCATAACTCTCCAGTGGTTGGTCAGCCAAACGGTGGACCAGAGCCTCAGGAATGTTATACTACACCCACTGCTCATATTGGTTTAGTGTGTGAAAGGCTAGAGTGAGAATTAATGGCGGTTAAGGTTTACACATAAAGTTTGTACGAATAAAAAGTTACAAAAGTTTATAAGAATTAATGAATGTCTTTTGGATCCACGAGACCCCCCGGCGTCGAAAGACTGGTCACAGAGGAGACGAGTGATGTGTTGTCCGGAGTTGACCAGCGGTTGGTATGATTCCGGTTGTCGTTGTGTTGATTGGTGTGAGTCTTGCGATTGTCTTTGAATGGTGTATTTAGTATTGAATGAGCGGATGAATTGTAGCGATTGTTTGAATAAATGTCATTAGTTTTACGATTGAATTGAATAGCGTTTGTGTGAACTCTAGTCCACGAGTTTGAGTTTGAATGCGAGTGAGAATCGTATGAATGTTTTCGAGTTTGTGTTAGTATTGGTTGCGAATGAGTGATGCGTTTGTTTGTATTGAATGAATGCGTGTTTTGCGAGACTGTCTTCGCATTTGACTGATAGGCGCCATAGTTTGAACGCAGGGATCCGTCTGTAGGTCCCGACAAAGTGATGGACGAGACGTCGTTCACGACGTTGTCCCGATTGCAACCGTTGTGGCGCTCGACTTGTCGTTCAGCTGCGGCTGAGATATGGAATGATTGACGGTTTGGCTCAACTGATGGCATGTGATCAGACAATTGTGATTGAGTCCCGAGAGTGTGCGTATGTGTTACGAGTAGTGGTAGCGATGGATTGCTTGAATCGTTTGTATTGAATGATACGCTTCTGTTCTTTGTATCGATTATTGCGTTATAGAGTGCGAGTGTTGGGAGTGACAGAAGCAGTGAGTACTTGAAGTCTTGTATTACGTGTGCATTGATTGTATGAGTCATTGAATTGATTGTTAGGTTGAATGAGACGGTGCCGAGTGTGTCGACGTGTCCTCCGGCGACAGCGAATCGAGATTTCTCTGACTCGTTGAGAGGAAGACCGAGATCTTGTGTCACACGGAGTGGAATGATATCGACTGTAGACCCGATGTCTGCGAGAGATGAGAGTCCATAGATACCAATGCGACCCGGTATTAGAATAATGTTATGCGTGTTTGAGGGGCCGATGGTTGACATCACTTGACTGATAAAATGAGTCGTTTGCGTTTGAAGTTTGACTCGAGTTTGGCGTCGATTGGTTTGAATAGTCTTCGGGTCTGTGTGGACAGTCCCGGTGCCAGTGATAGTTTGTTTCGCCGCGTTCACGGCAGTATTGGCAAAACCAAGTGCATTTGCGTGTGAAGTCGACGCGATAGACTTCGTGTTTCGTATTTGAATTGAGTGTTTGTTTTGCGCCACTGTTTGATTGATTGGATGCGTTTTGAGTGCGAGTCGTATGAGTGTTACGTTTGGTGTCGGCCTCAATGTCTTGTGCCTTTTGGAGCCATTTAGTGAGTGTTGGGCGCTTTCCAACGAAATAACTGCGATACTCGTCTGGTAGGCCTTCTGTGAGAGCAGAGGTCATATCATACTCTGATAGACCACTGATGCGATCCAAGAGACGGGTCTTGTCATCAAAGTAGGTACGGATTGTCTCGTCTTTCTGTTTGTGGCGACGACTCGCAGCAGCGAACGGTGCGATGTCACTGTGAGCGTAACGTGTGGTGAGTTTGTCAACGACGTCTGGCCATTGAATACAGGGATCGCGAAGGACTTTAGTGCCGTAATAGTTAGCCGCATCGCCTTCGAGATAACCCATGATGGCATCCACTTTCTCATCATCTGTTTTGTGGCGAAACGCCCTTTCGAAGAGAGCGA